GAGATTCCATAGGAAGAAACGCCATGTAGCCTAGTTCTGAAATAGCCAGTGAAAATACTAGAAACTGCAACAGGATCTGTGTGATATGTTTGCAGGGAGAGGAGCCAGAGAGGTTAGAAGACACTCTGTGACTCTGTAACACACAGTGACGGCAGCAATGGACTCCCTGTGATCTTAACTCTGGCGCCAGACCAGGCAGCATTTCCTCATGCTGTACATGGACCCTTGAGTCAAAACGGACTCCACAGCAGCCACACTGGAGGGAGGGATTGACATTTCAAAAGCTAATCATGTTTTCTTCAGAGTGAGTCATTGTCAATTGGTTTAATCTTTGCCATCAAGTCCTTAACAGGAAAGAACAGTTAATGTAATTAGAGTTCTTTTTCTTTCTTTTTTTAAAAAAAGAAAAATAGTCTATATACAGTTCTGGTCTTCACAATTACTTCAGAGAGCTGGATAATGATTAAAGAGGATAGAAGAAGAATTGTTGTCTCTCAGTTGTGGTTCTGGAGAAAAGTCTTGAACATACCATGGACTCTCCAGAAAACAAACAGTTCTGTCTTAGAGAGAGTGAAACCAAGTTTCTCCTTGGAGGCTAGCATTTTGAAGCTCTGTCTCACGTACTGTGGGCACATGGCCAGGAGAGACAGCAAAGGAGGGGAAGACCCCAGATGAGATGGATTGGTACAGTAACTAGGGCTATAGGGGTTGGTGTATCGGAGTCAGAGTGGGTCAAGACAGGGCAGGCTTCAGAGCTATTGTACACAGGGTCTCTATGAGTCACAGGCAACTTGACAGCACATAACAGTTTCTCAACCTATAGTACTAGTTTTAAATCCAGACAATAATTGCCATGTAGTGAATTCTCTTGATGATGTGATTATCACTCATTGTTTTAAACTACTGTTGTTATGTACTTTCCAACAGATTTTTAGAAGCAGTAAATCTTGGAGGAGATTGCCCATCTTTCATCCAAAGAGCAACTGGTGGGTTTAGGTTAGCAGAGCACTTCCTTACCACTAAGCCACCAGGCTAAATGTCAAGAAGACAAAGATTCTCACCACTGGACAAATTGGTAGCATCAGGATGGATGGCAAAGAGATTGAGATTGTTCACAGCTTCAGTTTGCTCGGCTCCACAGTCAACACTCTTGGCACCAGCAGCCAGGAAATAAAAAAATGTATCGTGATGGGAAAGTCTGCTGTTAGGGACCTCTCTAAAGTACTCAGGAGCAACGGTGTCTCTCTGGAGACTAAGGTGTGCCTGATACAGGCCATGGTCTTTGCAATCACTTGTTATGCATCAGAGAGTTGGACAATGACTAGGGAGGATAGAAGGAAAATTGATGCCTTTGAGCTGTGGTTCTGGAAAAGAGTATTGAATGTACCATGGACTGCCAAGAAAACAGATTCATTCTGGAGAGGGTTAAACCAGGCTATTCCTTAGAGGCAAGGATTCTGGGGCTTTGTCTTGACATACTTTGGACATGTTGTAAGGAGGTCCTTGGAGAGGGACATCATGCTTGGTAGGGTAGAGGGACAGCACAGGAGGGGAAGACCCTCTATGAGGTAGATTGATTCAGTGACTGGGGTAATCGGGTTGGGTGTGTCAGAGGCAATGCGATTGGCACAGGATAGAGCAGGGTTTAGGGCTGTTGTACATAGGGTCGCTATGAGTTGCAAACGACTCGACGCCAAATAACAACAGCAAGCCACCAGAGCTCACTAACCTAGTCACCATATTTTCTATGGACATCTCAGAGCAGCTCTACAACAGTAATGATTTGAAGTTAAGGCTGCTTGGGCTTACATCTCAGCTCACCATTTACCAGCTGCAAGGCTTTGGTGAACGTGCATAAGCTCTCTAACTTCAGCTTTCCTCTTCTGTAGAATGAGGATAAAATGGTATAGTAAAGGTGGCTGGGTCAGGTGAAGGAGAGGCATGTGACACAGTGCAGGGTTGCTGCTGCTTTCTCCGTTCTAGCTCAGCAGCTCATGGCCATCAAGTCAGAGCCCACTCATAGCTTATCCGTCAAGTTTTCACAGGCTGTAAATTGCACAGGGCAAAGGTGCCCATCTTTCGGACTGTGCCTTTTGGGGCTCACAGCACAACTCTCACTCAGTCGCCAGAGCTTCCTTTCCTCATTGTATGGAGGTGCAGTCCTGATCCTCAGTCCCCAGAGAGTTAGGGGTGGGACCAGGATTGGAACCTCAGAATCTGTGACTCTGAACATGGCACAGACATCAGGGTGGTGGGTATTTGCAGACTAGGGTTGGATTCTGCTCTTCAGCTGCCATGCCAAGGATATGCCTTTACCTCTTGATCCTTTCAGTAAGCCCTTAAGTCTTTTAACCAAGCTGGTTACCCTTCCTTGAACTTGATCCAACCTAAATATGTCCCTAGTGCCTGTGAAATTCGCAAGTGAGCTTAGTGATATAGTACAGGGTGCCCGGAGTTTTATGAAGTGGGATTAAACTTTCCCTGTCACATGAAGTAATTCTGCTAGAGGGAGCCTAAAATGGCATTCATCTTCATTAATGTGACTCATGTTACAAAAACATATCTAATATGTGATTTACTGCCTTGTCTGTAGCCTATCATCCCTGCCTTCAGGTTTCCCTTACACAAAAGGAACGGGGGCAGGAGGGGGGGCTTCCTCTCCCCTTCTTGCCTTACATAAAATAAGTGTAGAGTTGAGACAAATGTCTTAATCCTTAACACCTTCCCCTAATGCATACATACACATCCTCACAGAAATGCCCCAAGGTGTCCACGTGAGAATCACAACTCTTCTCCATTATGCCTGGCCCTCTGTGGAGACCTGGCTTCAGCCCCTTCTTGTCAGTCACTGCCCTCCACTTTGTGTTCCGGGCACTGCCTGCTTTGTTTAGGGAGCTCTCTTGACGTAGTCCATCAGAAGCTGTGCCACTAATCTAAAGATGGCACTTCCCTGCCAGTTTTACTCCACCAGCATCTCCAAAGGAGGAAGATGGGCACTCTAATCCTGTATGATTTACAGCCTCCCACATCCTCACTGGAGGGTCAGTTCCAACTGCATAACAATGAGTTTAAGTTTTTTTTAGTATCTATGTTGCTGTTTCTGATTGAGTTCTCCTAGACTTTAGACCACTGTTTCCTTTATTGTGAAATGCCCTTATGTTTATAGTGATAGTGGAATAACAGATCCCCACGGTCTACTGTAAATTGACTCAGATACTTAAACACAGAACGAACAAACATTAGTGTGTTACTTTTTTTTTTTTACTTCCTGGGTTATTGTCGTCATTGTTGTGGACTGTTGAGTTAGAACCAGCCCACAGCTGACCCTCCAGGAGGTTTTCAGAGGCAGTCAGTCTCATGGGAGGAGATTGCCCATCTTTCTCCCAAACAGCACCTGGTGGATTTGAACCAAATGCTTAGGGATGGCAAGTGTTCTTTTTATTTTGCTTTCCATTACTTTTAAATCATTAATGATAAATTTAGGAGATTAATTAATTTATCAGGTTCATCCTCAATTTTTGTGAAAAATTCTGTTGTGTTTTTGGTCATGTAAGACTCATTCTGGAAGTGTATGAAGCTAGAACATTGAGTTTCTCCCTCAGAACCGCTCTATGTATCCATTTATCTTACTTTCTCTCACTGCCTTGTTTTCTACCTTACTTCAATGTCTGCCTCCAAAACAAAATTATAAATTTCTATAAACTAGAACTGACCTATTCATTCAGTAGCTGCTTAGTGAATTGAATCTTTGAATTTCTGAGACTTACTTTATCTGTTTTGTATTATAATTATTATGTCTATTTTATAGGATAAGTCTTTTTATCAAACTAAAAAAATTAAAATATGTTCAAATTTTCTGTTCTTCTCAAACAAAATAAGGGCTCAAAACTACTAGTGTGGAATTATATAATGTGTATGTGTGGGTAGGTAGGTAAATGTTAGTATGTTTAAATACATCATAAAATTGGGGCGGGGGGTGAGCACTTTAGACTTAAAAAGAAAATTCAGTAGATAAACGCAGTTAGTATGCTTTGATCATTCTGAATTGGGTGGTGACCAGAAAGAAGAATAGTTCTTTCCTTGAATTATTCTTTTTCTTTGGTCCCCCTTTATCAAGAAAGACAGTATATTGAATTCCATGCAGTGGACGGTCAGGGGGTATAAACTGTTTAGCTAAAAGGAAGGGGAGTTTTTATTGCCTTTGAATTCTCAGAATATAAGTAGCCCCATATTACAGAATAGTTCAAATCTCTTTAGAAAAAGTTGCCAGTATGCTCTGTGCCATGGTGCAAACTTACATCTTTTCTGCCACGATCCATTTTTTGCAGTCATACACTATTTTGTATTGGCAGTAGATGTGCCTTTTACTTGCTAGCTCCACCTCTTATTCATGTGTAAGTTTCCCTGGTACTGTGTTTTATGTTCAAGGGGAATGTGTTGCTTTGACATTGTCTAAAGGCAAACAGACTTCCCTTCTTGGTAGAGCAGTGAATGTGAAGACTTAGCAGGGTAGATGACTAACCTCTGGCTGCATGTTCTTCCTGAATCAGAAACCTGGTGTACTGATTATGGAAGGAGCTTTTCAAAGACAAGAAAATAGGTTATTTGTAATACGAACCTTGCAAAGGCTACCCTTTAGAGTTGGATTGCACCAGGAAGAAAATTGAGGGCTCCTGACGAAGTATTCCAAGAATACAAATTCTGTACTTAAATTGCATGTAAGAAAGTGAATCTAAGAAAGACTCAGGCTTACATCTATGGAAAATAAAAAATATGTTCCAAAACCCTCCTAAATATGGAGTCTCTCTTCTAATCTCCATCCCCCCAGTGGTCGTAGCTCACTAGTGCCCCCTTGCGGTATTCAAACCACCTCACACTCCATTGCCTTGGGTAACAATCCCTACGGTGATGAGGGCAAATTTCATTTCTAAGGATGGAAGACAAGAGAAGTGTTTTTAGATTCTATTCAAGCTTCTTACTGTTTTTCTCATTTGTTTTAGGCCAAAGAACTTCCAACTTTAAAGGACAATGATTTCATTAATGAGGGCCAAAAGATTTATATTGATGATAACAACAAAAAAGTGTTCCTGGAAAAACTGAAAAAGGATGTTGAGGTAAGAAAAATCAATGTAAAGGGCAGCTCAGTTGCGAGCATGTCTATTATGCTGGGGTTTTTTTTTTGTTGTTGTTGTTTTTTACAGTGTTGGTCTTTTATTTTTTTTATTTATTTTTTTTTAATTTAGGTTGTTTATTTTTCATTTCAATGAACATCTACAGAGATTTTGGGATTCCATTCATTCATTGTTG